AAAAAAAAAAAAGTTGAAGTCAAGAATTTCAGTCTACCTGGATTAACTAACAATCGATGTCTGTAAAAGGAACACTTAAGAAATCAAACGATAAACTATCACAATGGGGGAATCTGCTGCCAGGACCTCTTTTCAAAGCTTCATGTCAAATAACTGACTACATACACATAGACAATTAGATTCATACTTTTCATTCTTTCTAACTTTCCTCCTCCTCTAATGTTCCCAATGTCAGGAAATTAAATCACTATACTTATGCCTCAGATTTCTTCTTGTTACACTACAATCAATTTACCAGTAAAATCTCTGCCAATCCTTCTTCCTAAATATCAACCATATTCATTTAATTTTCCCATGTCCATTGCAATCAACTTAAAGCAAGCTATTGTCGTCTCCTTCCTGATCATAGTAATTCTCACCCTGTAAAGCCATTTCCCCCACTCTATAATAAGAATGAAATTTTAAAAGTGCAACTCTCATCATAGATTCTTCTATAGAATCCTTTCTAATGGTTTCTCATCATAGAATAAAGTGCTCAAAGGTTTAATATATTTAGAAAGTCCCGAGTGAACTGTCACCTGGTTAATTGTCCAGCCTTGGCTTGGGCCACTCTGTAATACTCCTTGGACGTTTTCAGCTTTAAACACAATAACTAATCAATTCCTTAAATATCGCACTACTTTCTGTCTCAGGGTCTTCCAAATCTCCCTCCCCAGCACCCAAATGCTGTCCATTCTACTACTATGCCATTTTCAGAGCTAACCCCAATTTATCCTGCAGCTCACACCATCACTACTTTAAAAAAAAAAAAAAATACTGTTGACACTTTTATAGGAAGTTACAGCTTCCCCTAATTTACTTTTCCTTAATTTACACAGACTCTAAGTACATCACCAATTAGTGGACCAGGGCTACTAAAAAGACCCAGAGGCTTTTAGAAGCTTAACATCTATGCACCTCCTTTCTGATGCCCCTAAAATAATTACCAATTAGGGAAATCTTTTCTGACTACCTAGATTGTAATAGGCCCTTGTTACCTGCTCTCTTAGAGTCTATGGCCTTTTCCAGCACTTACTTTGTAAATAATTACTTTGTCCACATCACTCATAAATTATAAACTTTAAAGTGACAGATTTCTGGTCTTATGTCATCACAAATATTTCCCAGCACTTTGCATGACGCCTGACATGTGAGTAAGTCAGTGATTATAGTGATAGCAACTAATCTTCACAAGTGGTTAATCAGATGTAGGAAATAAAAATTCTAAGAGGAAAAGACTAAATATTTGGTACATTCTTCACCAAGAAATATAAAGGGGTTTTAAAAGTTGGTGGAAATTTTCCTTTATCTTTCCATCTTATTTTCCAGAGAGCTATCTGAAACTCTAGTTTTCTCCAACAAAGTTTTTCAAAGTCTATTTTAAGAGGTTAAAAAGAAAATCGGTAACTGAAAAATGGTTACTAAATGACACCGAGTTGAAACTCTAGAATGCACAATCCAGGAAACATACTTTTGGGGAGTTTATTTTAGTTGGTCATTTTGGAGACAAATTTGGGGGCTTCCCACATCCCTCGATGAATAAAGCAGTGTTACACTTACACAGAGGCTGGGAACGAGACTAGATAGATTGACATGTCTTGGCGCGAACATGTGAAGCTGCTGCAGGCAGGAGATGGCCGCGGCCTGAACCAGAGAGTCTGAATGGTCCTGGGTTATCGCACAACCCACCAAACAAGAGGACCGGATGGTAGAAATTATCGCTCCGTTTCCTAGTAGCAAAATAGAAGGGGAAAAATAAAATACAACTACTTT